ATGTTGGGAAAGATGGAGGGCACAAGGAGAAGGGGACGACAGAGGACGAGATGGTTGGACAGTGTTCTCGAAGCTACAAACATGAGTCTGACCAAACTGCGGGAGGCAGTGGAAGACAGGAGTGCCTGGCGTGCTCTGGTCCACGGGGTCACGAAGAGTCGGACACGACTAAACGACTAAACAACAACAACAATAACAATTAGTCGCTTTCCTCACAAAAGCAGCCCAAAGTGACTTAAACACTGAAACAATTACAACAAGCACAACTGATCAAAACCTAAAAAACACATCTGTATAAATAAAAGACATGTCCTGCCCCACTAAAAGAGACTGCAAGTTCCTGAAATCCTTCAAATTGAGGACCAAAAGCCTGGCACCTAAAAATAGATTTAGTTGGTGCCAGTCATGCCTCCCTAGGTACAGACTTCTACAAGTGAGGGACCACCACTGAAAAGGCCCTCTGACCCTTCCTATAGGGAACAGCAGTCCTTGAAGTATTGGGGTCCAGAAGCTTTATGTTAACACCAGCGCTCTGAACTGAGTCCAGAAACTAAACTGGCCCCAGGCAGAACCTGTTAAATAGTCTGAGGGGAAAACTGTTACGATATAGAAGCAATGCACCCGTGAGCTGCTGGTAGCTTGAAAGCAAAACATAATGGGAATGTTGGGACTGTTCCGTGGGAAACAGAGGGACAGTCTATTCACAGTGCGAAGCACCGGAATTAGCTCAGAGTGTAATATGAGCTGTATAGGAAGTACAGGAGGAGTTTCATTCTCGACTGCCGGAATTTGAAGAGAGCAGTGATGTTTTTTGTAACGCTGCAAAGACAGAAATAAAGGCATGTAAATATGTTTTCTGTCTATCTCTTTCCCCTGCCCGGGGGGGCAGAAAGAGGGGTGTGTCCTTCTCACGATGAGAAGGATCGCCTATCGCAACCTCTGCCTGGATCTTGCTGGGGAATGCAGACAGGGAGGTCAACAGGAGATCAAGTCGGGTGCCTGGGAGAGTTGCCAGTTTCTCCTGATAAAGGCTTGATTCCCGACAAAAACAACCCAAAGAGGTCAAAGAGACTGGCAAACAGACTTAAATAGAATCTAAGGGCTCATCCAGACTTCTTTTTTGCACCATGCTTTCCAGTCACAGGTCTCCACTTTAATGCCGCATGTCCAAGTTGTCTTTTTATTTTATTTTAGCTCTGGCACTTTCCCTTAAAAAAAACCCCAAACCATTTTACCGCTGCACTGGAGCAAACGGCAACCCACAGAAAACCCAATTTGCTCCGTTTGCTCCGATTCAAACAACTTAGCTGAAGGAATTGAGGGGATGCTCATTAAATTTGCAGATGGCAACAAACTGGGAGGGGTAGCTTCACCTTCAAAGGTGTACTCCTCTATTGTCTCCCAAGACGGACGGATGCCAAGAACGTACTGTACTCCCCTCTCTTTGTGCTGTGCTGACTATATGTAACCAAGAAACATGGCATGAAGAATGAGTCTGGCTCCTAGATTCACTTCTGTGTGCTGAATCTTCCATCATTTAAAAATCAATAACCATCTCCAATACTCATCAGTTGGCTCTTCTGAGCCTCATTATGGCTGTAATGTGCCACAGCAAACTATAGTTTGTTCTTCCCTCTTCTGTAATCAACAGGACCTTTCTGTTAATGAGAAAAAAAGTTCCTTATCTCTTCCTCAAGCACCTAACTAACAAAGAAAGGAATGGATGCTTAGCAGACTCCCTTGGGAAACCAGACTCCCAGGAGCCCTGCTACAGGACACTACTTCTCTCAATCTCCTTCGGAAAATGCAAAGCGGGAAGGATACTTTTCTCAGGTAATTCAAGGTGCTTAATAAGACGGCACTGAATAGTGGTGTTGAGTAGTTCCACGTTTTCTCTGTCACCCAATAGCATTTCTCCGCATTCCCCATGCAGAGGACCTACCACTGAAGAAACCTTTTATTATTATTTCTAACCTGTCTTGCAAGCCTGAGCTCATTCTGAGCTTTAGCCAGCCTGACTTTCCCTCTGCAGCTGTTGGCTACTCATGTATACTCCTCCTTTGTGATTTCCTCTTTCTTCCATTTCTTATACATGCCCTTCTTAACTCCAACTCAACTGTAAGCTCCTTAGGCAGCCACACCGGTTTCCTTACATGCCTCCCACTTTTCTTTCTTGTTGGTATTGTATGCATTTGGGCCTTCAATATTTCTCTTTTTAGAAATTCCTATCCTTTGTGGATCCCTCTCTCATTGAGTATTTCTGACCACAGGATCACACCCAGTAGTTCCTTCAGCTTTTCAAAATTGGCCTTCTTAAAATCCAGTGTGTGTGTCCGACTACACTCAGTTTTCCCTTGCCTCTGTATCCTGAAACCCAGGATAATATGATCACTTCCTCCCAAATTTCCAGGCACTTCCACCTCATTAATCAGTTCCTCCCTATTGGTGAGAACCAGGTCCAAGATAGATTTGTCGGTTCTTCCACCTTCTGGGAAATGAAATTGGAGGAATTTGTCAGACAATAGAGGCAATGGAGGAATTTGTCAGACCTTACACTCTTGGCAGAGTTTGAGTCCCAACAGCTATCAGGGAAGTTGAAGTCCCCCATGATTACTATTTCTCTCCTTTTCAAATGTTTGGTAATCTGCTCTAATAAGGCATCATCCAAGGCTTCAGTCTGGCTAGGCGGTCAATAGCAGACACCCATAGTAAGGGCACCATTGTTTCTCTCTCCTACAATTTTTACCCATATACTCTCAATCTGCTTTTCATGCTCCAGATCATGGATTTCTTCACAAGTATACACATCCTTTATATACAATGCTATTCCTCCTCCCTTCCTGTTTGGTCTATTCCTTTTGAACAGGCTATACCCCACAATTCCTACATTCCAGTCATGAGTCTCATCCCACCAGGTTTCAGTCATGCTTATAAGGTCGTAAACGACTTAGAGGCATTCTTACAATTAAATGGTATATAGGTAAAGAGACCCCTGACCATTAGGTCTAGTCGTGAACGACTCTGGGGTTGCGGCGCTCATCTCGCTTTATTGGCCGAGGGAGCCGGTGTACAGCTTCCGGGTCATGTGGCCAGCATGACTAAGCCGCTTCTGGCGAACCAGAGCAGCGCACGGAAATGCCGTTTACCTTCCAACCGGAGTGGTACCTATTTATCTACTTGCACTTTGACGTGCTTTCGAACTGTTAGGTTGGCAAGAGCAGGGACTGAGCAACAGGAGCTCACCCCGTCGTGGGGATTCGAACCGCCGACCTTCTGATCAGCAAGCCCTAGGCTCTGTGGTTTAGACCACAGCGCCACTCACGCTGTGTGTGTGTGTGTGTGTGTGTGTGTGTGTGTGTATATATATATATATATATACACACACACACACTGTTTGTTAAATAAAATGATAGGCAGCCACATTGAGCACAATTTAAAAAGGTCCGGGATTAGCTGACCTGCACTAATTGACAGCAGGCAGCCAACCTCTTTTAAGGTAAACCTAAACACCCCCCTTCTTTCCACAACAAGCAGAAGTGGCCATCTCAGGTACATACTTTATATGGGAGATCTGTGAGCTACTGTACACATTATAGTTTTATAAGTATATACCCCAAACATTTTAACAGTGTAACCCTATGCATGCTTACTCAGAAGAAAGCTTAAGTATTCCCCTGGAAATGCTAAGAGTGAGCACAACAAGCATGTCAGAGAGTCATGACTGGATGCAGCTCCCAGCTGCATTTGCTGGCAAATGTTGGCTGTTCTGAGTCTCAATGTGAAAGAGAATTCAGTTCTTCCTTTGTGTACCCTCACATGTTATCTCAGGAAAACTAATTTATTAATATCATTCCATATTGAATGCCTGCACAGAAAAGACTTTGAACCATTAATGAAATGCAAGCCTAACTTCTGAAAACAGGTGCCAGTTGTTTTCTTTTGAAAATCTTGATGCACCACAGCAATGAATAGCCCAGAGAGATATATGGAGGACTATACCAAACCCACACCATGGTCGAGCATTGCAAAGAAATGTCCAACTTCCTCAGAGTTTAGCCATGTAGAGGTGAACAGATACTCCTTGTTCTGCTGGGGGATATCAGGAACAGCAGAGCTAGACACAGCCTGAAGGAAAAGGTGAGAGTTGCTCAAGGCAGCATGAACAATACTGCAGCATGAACAAAATAACTAAGCAAAAAGGAGGAGGGGAGGAGGAAAGAGAGAGAAACAGCCCTCCAAGACAGATAGGGATCTTTAATTTAAAACAGAGTAAGCTTATTCATGGGAAAAGTGCGACAAAACACCCCTGGGACAGAGCGCTGCACTCTGGCAATTAAAATTGCATTAAAAACCAGATAGGGAAGTCGGAATCCTAAAACAGATGGGCACTGAAGACTGTGTTGTCCTTATTTGTTTCAATATATTTACCTTTTGGGCAATAGAGATAGTCGCTGATTAATTTTCTTTCTGGGCGCTTCATCTACAACTTCATTGTTCCTGTTTGTAAAGTCATTCTCTTCTGCTTGCTCCTGAAGGAGGCAGACTGCAAAGATTGCATTATGCAGGCAGCCAAACGGCCTGACGCTGATGGAACAGGGCAGTTTTAGTATTCAGAGACAAGGGGAAGAAAAGGACATATTGAATAGAAAAATCACTACACGGTCCCTAATTATTTTCCTCCGAGAAAGGGAGGTTGTTTTAAATAAAAGCCTCATCCCACCCTCAAAATGAACCCTTGGTATCAGTCAGTAGGTAATAAGCACATTGCAAGGCATACAGCAGGTCTCTCTAGACAACACAGCTGCTCCTTTGGCTGAAACTTAACAGCTGCTCCTTTGGCTGGTGCCTCCCTCCAGTCCTAATATCTTACAGTAGCAGCAGCAGCAATAATAATAATAATAATTTATTTATTTATACATACATACATACATACATACATACATACATACATACCCCGCCCATCTGGCTGGGTTTCTCCAGCCACTCTGGGCAGCTTCCAACAAAAAAATTAAATTATAATAAAACATCAGATATTAAAAACTTCCCTAAACAGGGCTGCCTTCAGATGTCTTCTAAAAGATGTCACTTGTAACAGTGAGTAACAAGACAGCTGTAAGTCAGGGAATATATATTATATTCAGATGGTGTTAACCAAAGCACTGGAGTGACATTCTTTAGTTGTGTGACCTTGGGAGATAACACAACACAAATAGTCTTTTGGTCCGAGCCATGTACTTTGCCCACAAAGTTCAAAACATTTTGTTACACATGCACTTCGTATGTTGCTGCTCCATATGGCTAGGTTTCAGCTGCCCGAATCAGACTTGTGTTTTTTTATTTCACTGTGCTCCTCGTGATAAGAGCCTACGGAGGAAGCATCCAGGTCTCTCCCTGTCCTGGCTTCAGTTGGGAAGCTCTGACCTTCAGCAAGCACTTGCCTGACAGTCATGTTGACACGGGATGCTTGCAGATACTTGGCACAGACTTGCCAGTCCTCCTGAGAGCAGGGCTCCATAACAGAGTCTTCAGGAAGGTCAGCAGGGAGAGGCAGTTCCAGGCAAGAAGGCAAAGGCTTCCCCTCCAGGTTGGGCAGAATCCTGGGGACTGCGTGGTACAGCAGGCGGCTGAAGCCGGACATGATCATCATGTCCCCGCTGTGCATGAACATGGCCACAGGGGCTTCATCTCGTTTCAGCCCCCCTAACAAGAATATGGATGACTGTCCAAAACTAAACAGAGGAAAAAGAGGGAAGGCAGTTAGTAAAACTGTAGCTATGGGAAGATTTTACCAGCTATTCTCTTCTCAATAGGCAAGGTGGAAGTTCCACTGCAACTTGGCACACATAAAGACCACACGTGTTGTGCTATATTCGTTCTTTTGATGTTATAATTTACATAATACATATGCACTTTCCAAAGTGTTATCTCATTCAACTCTAAAGCAAACAAACAGCTCCCCACACCCTTCCTCTTATGGTACTTTTAACACGTTTATTAGGGAAAGAGCTGTAGCTCAGTGGCAGAACATCTGCTTTACATTCAGAAGGTCCCAGGTTTGATCCCTGGCATTTCCAGGTTGGTCTGGGAGACACCCCTGCCTGAAATCCTGGATAGCTGCTGCCAGTCAGCGCACAATTCTGACCTAGATGGACCTGACTTAATAAATAATAATAATAATAATAATAATAATAATAATAATAATAATAAATGTTGCTAATTATACCCCACCCATCTGGCTTTGTTTACCCAGCCACTCTGGGCGGCTTACAGCATACAGTGGTACCTCGGGTTACATACGCTTCAGGTTACATACGCTTCAGGTTACAGACTCCGCTAACCCAGAAATAGTGCTTCAGGTTAAGAACTTTGCTTCAGGATGAGAACAGAAATTGCGCGGCGGCAGCGGGAGGCCCCATTAGCTAAAGTGGTGCTTCAGGCTAAGAACAGTTTCAGGTTAAGTACAGACCTCCAGAACGAATTAAGTACTTAACCTGAGGTACCACTGTATGTTGAAACATAATAAAACATCAAACATTAAAGGCTTCCCAATACAGGGCAGCCTTCAGATGTCTTCTAAAAGTTATATAGTTCTTTATCTCCTTGACATCTGAAGGGAGGGTGTTTCACAGGGATGGGGCAACTTCCAAAACATATTAGCACCTGAGGCAAATTGCAAAATGGTGTCCTACTCCCTATCATTGAAGAAGGGTTAGTGAAGATCTACATCAGAAACAAGGGTGGGGGGAGACTAAAGATCTACATTGGGATCTGCTGCCGCTGTGGATCCTGCCACCCGAGGCGGTGGCCTCACCTTGTCTCATGGGTGAGCTTGCCCTGTTCTTATATAATGGTCAAAGTTATTCGCAGGGACAAACCACACAGGACACCTGACAGCACGTAGCTTGTCCCAGGTGTTATTATTTTCTTTTACAAAACCCAGCCATGAAGGCTTGGTGGGGTGTTTCTCAACTATCTCCCAAGTGGTGATTTTTCTGCTAAAATTCCCTCTCCATTCTAACCCCAATAATAGAAATTATATATTGGCACTTTCCCCAATGTAAACAGTAAAGAAAAAGAAGCATTAAGAAGTACTCCTTCCCTGCTTCTTCCACAGAATAGGTCTTCTATTTTGGGTTGTAGCCTTCACTTGCAGTCTGACCTCAGTTTACAGAGAAGAAACTCAGGAACAGTGCGGAATGTTGGGATGGACAAAGGTGAATTGACAGGCTAGCCTACAGGGCTGTTATTGGGGGGCGGGATATGGAATCAATGTTTATAAATGAAATAAACAATGGCTCCCATAGACTTCAGCAATCCTACTATTCTGGATCAGTAGTCGGTTGCTGCCCATGATCTTGATCTGCCCTATTTCCCTACACTTCATACTTCCAGAGGCAGGAAGTTTGCGCTTGCCACATGAAACCTGTCATTTGTACCCTTTAATCAAGATGCATTAGCTAGAAGATGAAAGGTGTACGCTGCCTTCTACAAAATGTTTGGGTAGCCTACCAGAATGATAGAAGCGGTTGAGAATAGTCCAATTCGGACTCATCCACGTGAATTCCCAGAGATGAATCAAAGTGATAGTAGTTGAGGATTCCTGCTTCCGCTTGGAAACGTGGAAAACCACAAGCTTTAGCCACTTGCTCCGAGAGGAAAGCCAAGTCAGATGGAAAAGGCGTGTAGTGGTTGGCTGAATATTTCTGGTGAAGGAGCAAAAGAACAACAACAAATACGCAAACAGAATTGCAGAGGAACAAAGCCATCCTATGAACACATCCAGTCGTGACTTAAAGTGAGTTTTAGGTCAATGCCTGGCTGTGTTGGAGCCCACTATCTCCTTTCCAAAGCTGAGGTGGGGAGCAGATTAGGCAGCTTCCCCTACTGGAGTTCCAAGTGTAACATCCATTCAAAATGGGCTTTAGAGCCTCAACTGTCACTTCCTCTGCTATTGCCAACAAGAAGCTCAGTTAGTGCTAGCGGTTGCAACAGTGATTTTGTAGTTCAGACCCAGGAACAAAAATCAAGACACTCAGTATATCAGACATGATGATTAATATTTTTCACACAGGGGTGACATAGTCCAGAATCTTTCCCACAAATTCCTAAATACAAACTTCCCTGAACTAGAAACCTCAATATGGTTTGCTAAATGTTTCTGATGAGAAGACTGGGAATAGGTGGATTTCTTATTAAGGCCAGACAATAAGCAGATAAGGCTGCAGGCTCATTTGGTTAAGCATGTCTGCAGCATGCTGATAGACAATTCTTTCTCACTCTACCTCAAGTTTTCAATCTGATTAGAATGTTTTGGCTTCCAATATCTTTAAGAAGCCATGGTGTCTTTAGCAGAAAGCTTGCACAGTGACTTTATGCTTACATTTTCTAATCACTGCAAAAATAAAATCAACAAATATTTGCTATCATATTATCTTCCTGTTATACATTGCCAAGAGGCTCTGTTGTCCTTGAATACCTTTGTATTCCAGTTATAATGGTAACCCAAAGTCACCCAGCGAAGCTTTTCCAGTAACGTTTTTGAGGCCCGTTTGCTGGAACTTTTGTTTCTGGAAAGATACAAAAGAAAATTACCAAAAAAAATAAAAAATCAATTTCAATTATGAATCTCTGCAAGAGTTTCATACAGAAAGCCAAGTTTCTGATGCAGCTTAATACAATCCTTAACTTTAAAAAAGCCTGCCCATAAAGCTTGATTCTCATTATTACTTGTACAAATGTGAGTGAGTTTTGACCTGTGCTACATTTTCAACAATAGGGACGCGGGTGGCGCTGTGGGTAAAAGCCTCAGCGCCTAGGGCTTGCCGATCGAAAGGTCGGCGGTTCGAATCCCCGCGGCGGGGTGCGCTCCCGTCGTTCGGTCCCAGCGCCTGCCAACCTAGCAGTTCGAAAGCACCCCCGGGTGCAAGTAGATAAATAGGGACCGCTTATAAGCGGGAAGGTAAACGGCGTTTCCGTGTGCGGCTCTGGCTCGCCAGAGCAGCGATGTCACGCTGGCCACGTGACCCGGAAGTGTCTCCGGACAGCGCTGGCCCACGGCCTATAGAGTGAGATGGGCGCACAACCCTAGAGTCTGGCAAGACTAGCCCGTACGGGCAGGGGTACCTTTACCTTTTTACATTTTCAACAATAGGTTCAATGATAAAAATATAAAGCGAAAAAAATGGGCTGTGAGCTGAAGGGTCGATTAAGGCAATTCACAGAAAGTATTTTGGAAAAATGAAATGGAACTATGGAAGGGTGAAGTAAAACTGGATAAGATGAGTATTTCCAAGACTGGGAAAGATGTCAATTTGTGTAAGAGGCTTAATGGAAAGCTGAGCTGGTCTGACTGGAGGAATTAAAGTTCCATCTTGAAATATCTTTGAATCTAAAGTAAATGAAACCCATTCCATTTTTCTCTGGCAACAATATGGCAGATTGCCTATCAGAATTCATGTAGGATTGCATGTGATAATGATAAAAAGATCATGTTTCCCAATCCACAGATAATTGCATGTTCCTGTAACTTGTCATTTCAAATCAATGAAATACTAAGACACGCAACTTGGGGGCCTCTGTTCAGAGCATTTTGATAAATGATAGTGCCAAGTGGCTCAAATTCTTTATTATTATTTATCACTTGTGAAGAACCTAAAATTTTCTAAGCAGTGTACAGATATATTTTTAAAGGGTAGTAGCTGCTGGCAGGCTTAATACCCATAGATACAATACAAAAGGAAAACAAGATGGGGTGGGTAGAAAAAAGCACACAAATTCAGGCCACCAATTCTTGAAGTTACATAATCTCAATAGCAGTATCTGATCTGGAAAGCTGGGCCTCCCTATCTTTAAGTGCACAGGAAGAAATCCAACTTGCACCCACTACTACTATCCTTTTTTAACAGAATAGATTATCCCATTTCCTTCCTTAATCTCACCGGGGGGGGGGGGGGAATCCAGTTACTTTTGTGCAGTAACTTTTAGCACTGCCTGTGACACTGAGATCCACAAGCAGCCCCAAGCTTCCAAGACACAGACAAATTGCACTGAATTTGGCACTTGCAAATTAATTTTCTAAGTGCCTAGAGCAAACTATGTTGTAGTTGACCGAGAGACACAAAGTTCATGACATATTTTTAGTAAGCTGCTCAGGTCTTCATATTTTCACGTAGCTTCACAAGCAATTGCTGTCGTGCCTAATATGATATTCCATGCTGCTGAGAACAAAGCAGCAGGGAGAACTGCAGGTCAGGATTAAAGAGCACTGGAAGAGCTGGGTGAGTGGGAGGAGAAACAGCAAGTGAGTTTGGAGATCTGGTTGAAGAACACTGACACATCTTGGCAGGGTGCCCCTAATTAAGATGGCAGACAGTGCTGCACAGCAGAATTGAGATGCATCTGCAAAACTTTGAAAACTACAGAAGCTCCAGAGTAGCAAAGAAATGGCTGTAGGTCACAGAGCTATGCGTGGAAAGGTGCAAGGAAGCCTCCAGGTCTCCCGAGTCCACCTACATTGAGTTTTGTGTTGTTGTTGTTTTTGTGTGTGTATGCAATTCAATTTGGTATATTCAAGCTTATAATGCTTTCTTTCTTTTTTCTTTCCCTCTGTATTTTTTTGGGAAGCTGCCCACCATGGCTGGGGCAACCCAGCTGGTTGGGCAGGGTTTAAGAAATATATTATTGTTGTTATTACTATTGTTATTATGGCATCACTGTCTTCGGTCACTATGAAATTAGCTCTAAAACGAAAGAGAATGGATATTAAAAGTTTGTCAGTGGGATCTGCTTGCAACTACCAGATCAAGGCAGACACCCAACATCTTTGACCATGGAAAGAGGTCTACACCATATTACCCTAAAAGCAGAAATACACATTCTTCCAAATATTTATTTTATTGGGGTATTTCTAAACCACCAACTCGTTATAAGTCAATTCAGAAATCAAAATCAGAGAACACGCCCAAAAGCCCACATTTGGGCAATAAAAACACTTTTAAAATAACAACCGAAAAGAAGAGCAAATCACCTGACTTTACCATTTAAGACTTCCCAGGGCAATTACACAGTCACTGTTGAAATCCTTTATCCTGGTGCTGTAGGAAAGTTTTACAGAGGTAAAACTTCAGCATTTAAATTTCATTGCTGGGTCAAATAGAACCGGCAGCCTTTACAAATAACTGGCTCCATGTGCAGATAATGACAAGTTTTAATTACATTACTCTGCAAGTGCATTTCAGCCTCATTTAATCCTTTGGCCCCTTTGCTTGACTGGATGCCCAACTGTAATGTCAAAAACTCAGGTCAACTACAAATAAGGTTAATTCACTGCCATGCTGCAAAAATTGTATCTCCAAAACTGCTTGAGCAGCGCAGCTTCCTCTACTGCTCACAGAATAATCAAAGACAAAAAAATCCTCTGAGAAAGAAGTTGAGGTAGAAGAAATCCTCGAGGGAAAAGGGGAGAAAGCCTTTCACTTTCTTGGCTAAGTCCAAACTTTCAACTGCTTATATGATTTTTCTTACCACTCTCCCCATCACTATAAGTAGCTAAAGGTAAAAGGTAAAGGACCCCTGGATTGTTAAGTCCAGTCAAAGGCGACTATGGGGTGTGGCGCTCATCTTGCTTTTCAGGCCGAGGGAGCCGGCATTTGTCCCCTGCTCTGACTTACAGCAGGAATTGTTCTAAAGTTGTCTGGTAATAGGGAAGCATATTATTATTATTATTATTATTATTATTATTATTATTATTATTTATTTCCTTATACAACCCTAATTTTGACACAGTCACATGTAACAGGGTGAATGAACAGCACAGAGCAGCACAGAGGGCCTCTACGTTCGTGAATCCAGCACTGAGAATAGTTAGCAACCAAGACAAAGCTGTCTCTTGAAATTAGTACACTATGGATAAACATCAATGGGTTATTTTCCGTGTATTTTTTTTAAAAAAAATTGTAAATACCTAGTTTGTTTCAAAGAACAAGTTGGTTACTGTTAAATAATCTGAATAGAAATACGTTAGCTCCTTGGTTATTCTTAAATAGAACGAAAGACAATACCAGACACTTAAAACACAGTTAAGAGACTTTATTACTTATAAACATATTTATATATAACTATTCATAAAAAAATCGGAGCAGTTAAAACAATACAAAATACAATAAAAGAATAAAAAAGTTGAAATCAGAAATTATTGTGGATATGCTCTCAACTGGCTGAATAACCCTGTCAGAATACAACCTTTCAGCAGGCATTTGAAAGCTGAAACAGCAGGTGCCTGCAGTATCTACTGGCAGAGTATTCCACAATACTAGGCTGATGACACTAAAGGCTTGAATTCATAATGTTGTTGAATGAGCCAACTCTGGGAATGACCAATGGCACTCATACAGATGGGGTCGGTGATTACTGAACTGGGATATAAAGGAGATATGTAAATGACCTTTTATCAAATTGCCTTAGCATTATTTGGAACCAGGACATACCGCAACTGATGCTGACTCTTCCCCCACAGATCAGTGGTTTCCGAAGAAGACATGTGCATATCCAAATTGCACACATTAGGCTTCTGGGTGTATGTCTTCAGGCACTGCTTCACCCAGTGACGCTGGCAGCCTGGAAGGAAGGGATCTGGGATAAATATAAACCCTAGACAAAAATGAAGGTGGATGGGGAAGAGATTGTTAGGGCCTGTATACATGTGAGCACTGAAAAGAACATTGAGAAACAGCAGGAACACAGAGCGTACAAGTTTACAACCTATGTCCTTCAGAAACAATACAGGTTGCTAGAAACTGTTCGCCCAACTAAATTTGGATCATATAAAATTTATATCATAAATAATGAGAGAAGCAAACACCACATCAAAAAAGTCCTCCCCTGCCCCTCGCTTGTCATACAAACACACTCACCTGGATAGTTTTTGAGGCCATAGGCTTTCCATTGATTAACTGGACGCAGTCCTGCTCTGTAAGCATCGTGATCACTTACTGAGGAAAAACTCAGGGAAGAGCTGACAATCTGGTGGCGGAAAATTGAATATGAGACACCTGAAACGTGACCCACAGAACCTGGCTGAATTTTATTAGCCAGTAGGAGTTGTGCCCATCACCAACCCTACTCTGCCCCTTGAAAGGAACTGAGTCTTGACTGTGATGTCAATACGTTTCAGAGAGGCTAAGTTCATCTACAAAAATAAGCCCCAAACTTCCTCCTTAGCTCAGAGTTGAGGGTACCTTGTCCCTTACTAAGCTGCCTGATGGATCTCTCCAGGGCCTTTTCCCAACAAGAGCAGAGAAACCAGCTAGATCTTGTGCTGAGTTTGGACATGCTCAGAAAACACCTTGGTATTTCTCAAAGTCAGCCTTCAAAAAGAGCAGCTGAGGGGAGGAAGAACCTTGCCAGTTTAAATATTCTGTGGAGAAGGCAAGTTTATACTAAAAGTTCACTAAAATATTTTAATTACCAGCAGAGTTCATTGGATACTGTTACCTTTAAATTCAATGGGTTATCAAAGTAAGTCAATGGGGACAATGAAGCAAAAATTAATAGTGTTTTTCTGAAATAAGTGGGCCTGATGTTAGTTGTACTGGGGCTGTTTGCTGGATTGTGCCTACTACCTTTTAGAGTCAGTTACTATAGCTTTAAAATGGAAATAATAGTAAACCCAGGAAATTGAACTTACACTCAAATTTTCCCATTGATGCATACCTATCGCACTGATTCGCGATGCTTCCTGAAATCTACCAGGTTGTAAAATACCTGAGTCAGAGGCATGTGCTATATTTAGAATTTCAGCTCTTCAAAGCAATATAGTATTTGTTTTCATTACAGGGGAACTGTCAGATAGACAATAAAGCAGCAGTTGCTTCTCTGGACCTATGATGGTTTTTGTGGCACATTTTATTTCTTGATTCAGTAGGTTGTGAAACCTGAAGTCACAGCGTTCTGACAAACAGCTCACTTTTCTGTCTGCACCATAATCCCAACATTATGTACGATTATGGCTATTAACACAAGGATTGCTAGTGCTGGAAAGCCACAACATTTTATAGCCTGTGGCAGAGTAGAATCCCAAATTCAATTGGGATAATGCATTAGTTTCCAACTCTGGTGGATATGTGATTTTAATTGAAATTACAAACGATGCTGAAGAAATAAGAGGGTAATCATAATTATGCAATCTTGAGGTCTGAAGAGCTTCTTTCTGTGACAGAAATTCTCCTTGGGAGGGCTGTAATTATACAGCACTCATTACAGTATTAACTGAGGACCAGTAAACCTGTCTAAGCACTGGTGCTAGTCGGAAATTGTTAATACCTAGTAGTCACTTTTAATATGTTATTCTTAATGAAATAAAAAGGGATCTTTTGTTACTGAAGACAGTGTTAATCCTCTGTCACCCTGAAAATGTCACCTTTATTGTTAATTTTCTCTTCAGTAGTTAATTTCCTGCAACAGTCAGAAGATAATGGGATGAGGTGGGTAAGAAGCAATAGGAAAGACAGAATCTTCCTTTCTGCAACATGTCTGATAATAATGCAAAGAGGCTTTAAAAAAAAGACAGGGAAGAGACAGAACACACAGTGGAGAACTAACTAGTAAAATGCATAACACAGTGAGCACACCTATGCAGTTTCCTTACAAGGGTACACTGAACTTTTGTGACATGTCACCAGTGTTTAAAGCCCATTGATTAAAAAAAATCAAGCACAGAGAAGAACAAATGTAATTTGTATATTTGCCACAGACAAGGATGATGATAATCAGAGGCACTGTGGATGTACCAAACAAGTGAGTGGGCCATGATACAGGTCTCTCCTTTCAGCTTTAAAGAACAATCGAAGGGATAAGAAATCTACATTAAAAACATTCAACAGCAGTATTCCAAAATTAGGACAATTGTCTATGCATTCTTATACAGTCTATTAGGGTGCCCTCCAAATATTTGCAAAAGCAAATTCAACAACAGGAGACATTAACAGAGAACAACAATCACAACATCTAGGCTTCTGGCAACCGAGTCTGCTCTAGGACACCAAGAGGATGATGCAGAGCAATGAGTTCCAAAGAAATTTTTGTCTATATCAGAGGTTGTCAACCTGGTCCCTACCGAGTGGCGTTTCAGGATTCTAGGTGGGCAGCAGGGGGTTCTACAGCACAAGCTGAATCCTCCTTCCATTGAGCACTGGTGGGCGGTCAGAAAATTTTACCATCAAGAAAGATGCATTAGTGGGCGGTAGGTATAAAAAGGTTGACTACCCCTGGTCTATATAAAGAGTTTTTAGTAAGTTTTGTGTTGTTTTCAATAAGCACTGTAAAAATCTAGCATTAAAAAAAGAGTTAATCATTTCAGATTCCTCTTTTTATGCAGTTTCATACAATTTATATCATATTCTCCTTAATCACTTTTATCAAACTTTAACTCCATTGCCCTGATCCAATGAGGGAAATCCCTGTGAAAAAGCAAGCTTCCATTCATAGACCAGCTGATATGGATGTAGAAATGGTTTTGGATGTGCACTCTATTCGCAGGGTAATGCTCATCTGGGCACCACTAAATTTGGCTGAGTCTTTTAGTGTGCACATAAATTTGCATATTCATCTAGATTATCACTACTTCTCCAGTCATGTGTATAGACTGCCAATTATTTTTCAAGACAATGGCTAAGGCACTGTGACCAGTAAAAAGATTACCCTGTTATTTATTTCATAAAATGTACATGCCACTTGATTGTTAAAAAACCACAAAGCGGCCCCTTAAGTACCAAGAAAGTGATTGTAACTTTAGTTTTCAGAGAGAATAACCTAAGCTCAGATAAGATGCATAGTAAAATTGCCTTGAGGCTCATACAAGACAAATCACATATTTAAACAAATAAATAGTCTTTAAAGGATTTAGACTTAAGAACCCAAAGCAGAACTAGCTAAAGGGAGAGATATTCAGAGAAAAAACAGAATGCCCTCCCCACCCCACTAGTTTTCTACCTAATTGCAGCAACAGTCATATAAAAAGAATCTCGACATCGTACTGTATGTAACATATAGTTTTGACCCAGATGATTAACAAGTAGAAAAATGTTCAGACATGGATATGACTTCATTTATTATGTGGTGCCATAGTGGTAGAACATTTGTTACACATCTTCAGGCTGCTTCTCAAATGAGGCGTTCACAAAGTAAAGGAAGGATTGAACTCTGATTAATAAGAATACACACAGAGGTTTGAACCAGCAAGACTCTGGGAAGGGTGCGTATAATAATCTCTCTCTGTCTACCTCCAGCCCCTGGCCCAGGTCATTTTATTCACAAAAGAACTTTTACACAGTGTTTGTAAGAACCAATCAGAAACCTGAAACTGTTCTTAACCTGAGTCACTATTTTAGCTAATGGGGCCTCCCACTGCTGCCGCGCCGCCACTGCACAATTTCTGTTCTCATCCTGAAGCAAAGTTCTTAACCCGACGTACTATTTCTGGATTAGCAGAGTCTGTAACCTGAAGCGTCTGTAACCTGAGGTACCACTGTACTTCTGACTGTAACCATTTCCCTTCAGTGGAAAAGATTAGAATGCTGGTGACAGATCAGTAAACTGTAGCAGCTGCAAGATGCTAATCTTTTGAAAATGCCATGAATATCAATAAATGTATCTTTGCTTGTGCAGCAAAAAAAAAGATATCCTAAAGACAACCAGCCTACACTTAGGCCCAGGCTATCCAAAGAACTATTTTCTCTCAAATGAACCTGGCTGGGCTCCAAGATTTTCATGAGATGCCCTTCTTTCAATTCTGCCACCCTCACAGGCATGTTTGGTGGGGACATGGGGGAGGCCTTCTTGGTGACTGTTCCCAGGCTGGAACTCCCTTACTAGAGAGGCTAGACTGGCTCCCTCATTATCCTTCTGCCAAGAAGTGAAGACTGTAATCTTCTGGTGGGTTTGGGGGAGCTAACTGTTCTTAAGGAAAGGGCTTTTAGTAGTGCTGCACTGTTTTTTTCTTTACTAGATTTGTTTTCATATGATTCTAATTCTCTTATAGTTAAAGCAAACATGGATAAAAAACAGAAAGCTAAAGGCATATGAAAGATAATAGTTGAAAAGTAATTGAACTATTATCTTTTATATGCTTTTATCCACGTTGCTTCAATTTTTATGACCTACTTTTCTGGGAGAAAAGCTGGGACATAAACGAACAAACAAATCATCAGTATTTGTAAACTATAATAAAAGAACTTCATTTCTCTAGCTGCCCACAACCGTTCATGAGGATTCAGTTTACCACTCTCCTTCACCCCTTTCACCAACAATCCCAAAAGCACACACCAATCAGAAACGCAGGGTCATTTTGTGGAAAAGCCACACTTCGGTAATACTGCGCACTCCCTTGAAGACTAAACGTTCCAGATTTAACCGCTGGCATTTCTCTTAGGGCTGGTTAAAAGGCTTACAGTCTAGATTTTTCATATATGTTAATTCATGCGCCTTATACAAAAAAAAAAAAAGCAGAATCCTGTATTGCTTCAGACTGCACGTGTGTGAATTATATTTTTGAATGCTTGTGGCTGCTTGCATGCAGCGATATGCTGTACTAGTCTCTTTTTAAAATTAAAATTAAAAATCGACACTCTCCCTACCTAAGGAATTCCACACCCGAGCGCACATGTTGTGGGTGGCTGGCCTAACCCCCCCCCCCAATAATTTCAGTTCTGCCACAAGAGGAGCCTTCCCACCTCCATCCATCTATCCGACATTCCTGCTCAGCTGCAAATACAGAGGCAAAATCTGTTCGGGGGATGGAGGAGAGAAGGTTCCCCCCCGGGGGGGGCGGCGGCACGTGCAAGAACCCGGAAGGGGCAGCTGTCACCATAGAGACAAGAGCGTGCGTTGGCGGTGTGGTAGGGCACTACCGTCCGGTTTACCTGCCGCGCCGCTGGCTTCGAGAAATCAATGGCCCCAGAAGGGTCCGAGCCCTCCCACCGCCGGTAGAAGCGAAAGAGCCGGCGGAAGGCGTCCTCGCCACCCTCCCGCGCGGAGACGGCGCCCGCCGCCATCTTAGCGCCGGGAGTGACCTTGCTCACGCTCAGCGGAAAGGGCAAGAGCGCGCCTCCCCATTGGCTGGCCGGCGAGAGCCCGCCTTACTTCCTCCTGGCTTTCAACATGGCGGCGGCAGGTCCTTCCCGGCGGCTCTTCGAGGTCTTCGTCGCCCGCGTGCCTTGGACGGCGGGGCCAAGTGAGTGGGGTGCGGGGTTAGGGTAGGGGTTTCAGAGAGTCCCAAGAGGTGCTGTAAGTCGGCCCATTTGACGTCTTAAAAGAAGGCTAGCCGGGTTTATAGCGTGGGCGCCTCCCGCTCTCCAGGTTTTAAGCCCTTTTCTGCATCCCTGCATCAGATGCTTTGGAGAACCCGGAGGGAGGCCCGAGACGTGAGTCAATCCCAACCTTCTTTCTTGTGCCGAGGGCTTTGTACCCCGGCTAAAGGGCTACAGAGGAAGGGATTTCGGCTGACGCCATGCAAGCAGCACCTACAGAAACCCCCTCTCCTCTGCAACGGTGCAGCGCTCTGAATTCTTTTGCAGCGGTCCATCTTCCATGTTTGCAGCCCTAAGAGGATCTCCACTATTCTCGCCCCAATTTAAAAATCACGTCGTCGTCATGCACAGAAACGCCCCAAGACAACCTGGTTTGATAAATGACTCTCTCTCTTTTTGCAGATGAAGTAAAACAATATTTTGCTCAGTTTGGCTCTGTGAGAAAATGCCTGCTGCCATTTGTGAGTATCACTGCCGTTAACTGAACCTAAACTCAACAAAATATTTCTTCTCCACCGCGTTTTAGTTTTATACAATTGCAATTTACATATAACAGTAAAATTCAGGTCTGGCACAAAGCCACCTAACAAATGTTAATATCCAGTTGGTATCATCACCTGCATTTGGATTTTAAAATGCATCTGAAAATTAGAAAAGAAAAATTCAAACTATTGAGACAATGCAGTATTCCCTGCTGGCACCTTTAGAACTGTATTTGAACACACTTAGCAGAGGCTACCAATAGTTCTTTTTCTTCCCATGCATTTTACAAACTTTATTTTCAGATGGACTTTCAGCTAGTTTCTGCCCTCTGTGATATCTGCATCTAAGGGCTGCTTGTGCTCAGACACTGATATCTCAGGGATATCCACTTAATATGAAGGGCATACAGTTCCCACTTTACGATAGATTGTTTCCTATCTTGTGCTGTTCACTGCTTGTGTATTTAAATCAGGGACACGGACACACATACACAGCTTTTGCTGTGCTAACACAATGACAAGACATCAAAAAATGAGCACTTTGAGTTTCATTGGAATGCATTACTTTTGTACTGAAATCTTAATGATTTCAGTGGAAGGGTTAATTATGCAACTATGGCTAGATCATGTTCCATAAAGTACAAAACATGACTTGTAGAGTAACTGCTTTCCTTTTAATTTTATATTAATTTACAGTGCAATCACATATGTCTACTCACAAGTAAGTCCTCTTTTAATGAGGATTTACTCCCAGCTTATAGGATTTCAGCTATAACTCCACCCGTTCCCAGTGGCCTATCCAAAATTAGTTTCCCCCAGGAAATTCTCAACCCCCCAGTATAAGGTAACTATGGGGGAACCAACCAAGGTACTCCTTTGTCGACTTTGTGCATGATGCCTGGTGTTGATGGAAGTTTGAGTTAAACAACATGTGGAGGGCACCACGTTGGCTACTCCTGAGGCAACTAGTTAGTTTCCAGCAAATTCATTCTTGTCATCCCCCATAAACCAGTAAAATAAGTGGCTAGGAAACTTCCTAGTCTGCTGGGAAGAGAATATAATTTGCCAGTTGTTTAACATTTATGATTGGTAATGGCTTTCTGCACGACGCTGTTCACCAGGTTTCTGCTGAAGGTGAAAAGGGCACATGTAGTCCATCCTGAAGTAGCATTTAAGCAGTAGTTGATTAAGCACATAGGATCCATCAAATCTAAATCAATTCAACGTACTTGTTTTGGCATGATTAGGATAAAGAAACGGGATTCCACAAAGGTTTTGGCTGGGTTGGATTTTCTACAGAAGAAGGTCTTAAAAATACTTTGCAGAAAGACACTCATATTCTAGAAGGAGCTAAGGTAAGAGGCTATGGTACTGTGCATACTGAATTTCTTATCCTAGAAGAGAATTGCTATTTTATATTTAAAGGTGAACACTGAGAATGGCTGGTTACCTTGTTTGTTGCACATTTCAGACCTTTCACAAGTTCAGACCTAATAAGTGACTTGAGACTTGCATAAATACAACATAAATAAGCAGGGGAGTGAATAGTTTTCAGTCCAAGGGGCATAATCCCTCATGGACAACCTTCTAGGCCTACACCCCAGTGGTGGATGGGGTCCAGAAAGTGGGCAGAGCAAAGGATGTGACTTACAGTAGGCTACCTAAGAGCCATGCAAAACCAGAGGCTTTATCCATCCACCTGTCCATACAGAAAAGCAAGAGGCGGCACCACAGTTAAAGAACATGTTCCAGATTGGTAAAAGAGAAAGGTGTGGACTGGGGAGTCTTGAGATGATGATAATAATAATAATAATAATAATAATAATAATAATAATAATAATATATTATTTATACCCCACCCATCTGGCTGGGCCTCCCCAGCCACTCTGGGCGGCTTCCATAAAAACCAAAAATACAGTAAAACCAAAAATACAGTAAGCCAGCATTTGGTGGCATGTCTTTGTTTTACCCACTCCTGATCTACAGGGTGTAATATATCATCATGGTCTGAGCAAGGAGAGGGTGAGTTTGCGCTCTCCTAACACGGTCTCATTGCTTGATTGTGTGGAGGAGGAAGAGAATTGTTTCCTACTGTGTTATAGTAATTCCCCCCCCCCCCTTTACAGGCAGCACTGAGTAGGGGGCAATGCTAGTGTTAAGCCTCAACCCACCACTTTCCCAAGCCGAGCTGACCACAGAGAACAGGGCAAGGAGAAAACTGACACAGCTGATTTGTACATACAGTGGTACCTCTGGTTACGTACTTAATTTGTTCCGGAGGTCCGTTCTTAACTTGAAGCACCACTTTAGCTAATGGGGTCTCCTCCTGCTGCTGCGCCGCCGCCACGACGCAATTTCTGTTCTCATCCTGAAGCAAAGTTCTTAACCCAAAGTACTATTTCTGGGTTAGCAAAGTCTGTAACCTGAGGCGTATGTAACCCGAGGCGTATGTAACCCGAGGTACCACTGTACTCTGTTGTGGTACTTGAGAGGCACCTTAGTTAGCATTGTCATCCACAAACATTTATTCACAAAGGATAGCTACATTTTATCTCTACCGCTTCCAGTTGCAGCAGAGGTGGTGGGCTGGAGTTGAAATACTCAGGGGCATGTTCTTAAGTGTGCTTCTTGGGTCTTTGCAAGCCAGGCTGTTAAGCTATGCTTTGCAAACCTAACTTTCAGCAGGGATGTACTAGGGAACTTCCATAAAGAGCTCCTAAGTGCAACCAGTTCCAGTGGGTTTTGCATTTGGTGCCAATTAAAAGGAGCCCAATGCAAAGCCTGCTTGCCAAGGAACATTTCAGAGACCTTGTACCACTTATTCTTTTCTCAGCTAACCCTTCTCATAGGATTGTTACAAGGATGAAGGAGAGGAAAATTATGCACCCCACTTTCAGGTTCTTACAGGAAAGAAGAGAAATAAATAAAACGGCTCTCATGTTCTATCCTTCATAGTTCAATTCATACCTGAAATAAGTTCAGTCTAACAGTCTTTTCACAGACATTTACTTCACAAATGAAAATGAGTCTTGAAAATTTCGTGGGGTGTGAGGTTATGGAAATCTATGTTTAAAGTTCTAAATGTGAAATGGCGTATATTGATCATTAGTCAGTGCATTTACAGTTGAAAGTAGGCATAATTAAATGTTGAAAGCCATTTATGAAGCTGTATCTGAAACACATTGTAGTAATCCTAGGTAATTTTAATTAATAAGCTGATCTGGTATTTCTTTCAGCCAAAAACGTATTTCATTAGGGGTTCATAACAGGCCTTGATTCGTAGAAACTTACACAAATGTTTTATGAAAAGTGGTTTCAACTTATGTGGAACATCACCTCAAAAATGAATATATTAAGTATATCAACATTGATATGGATATTAAGATTGTTTCTTCTACTGCCTTACTAGCAATTGTGTTTGTTCAATCTTTCAGCTTGATGTGAAACGTCAGAAAAGCAAAGGCTACTTTTCAAACAGAAGAACTGCTGACATCAGTTAAAGGAAGGAGACTTTATTTCACTGCTGTATAAAGAAACTAAAATAAACTTGGATATGTATTCATCTCAGTTAAATGAATCCAGCTGTTTCTCATAAGCTTAAGATGAATGAACTATACAATCACAGCAGAGCAAATGAACCACAATACACTTTCTTCCCCCTCTCACATACGTTACAGCAGAAGCAGGGCAAACTATGTACAAGGGGGAGTATTATCAGATGGAATAAGCAGCTTTAACTAAGAACTCCATATACACCAGGCAGCTTATTCTGACCTTAAGAGAACAGAGCTCCACCTGTGTAAAAACAAAGGGGCAGCACAAAGCTAGAGCCCCAAACACAAAACCTGTAATTCAGTGGTCCAGTTTTTCGTTACTTCCTCTGTTCCTTGGGCAAAAGTGTCCCTTTAGCTGGGTGCCTATATCCACTATACAGGAACTGTCAGGTGGTTTAGACAATCCCCTGCAGTCTTGTTTAAAATGCTTGAAACCAATTCCTTACTCTTTCCTTCTCTTCTTGCCTTCATGCTCATGTTCTTTAGGACGGCTACTATCAGGCCTTTTTGAGCCCCCATGCTGTTTGGCTTCCTCCAAGAATTTGTCTAGACCGAAAGGATCCTCCTCAAACTGAACTGGTCCTTCTCGACCTCTTTGCCTGCGGTCTGAGCCAGAAAATTCCTTATCAGGAACAAACCTGTGAGACCAAAAGAAAGTAGTAAATCAAATGTTCTAGTAGTAAAAATACAATTGGAAATACTTGAAATTTCCATACCTGTTAGTAGTTTTTATTCGTGCCTCCAAATCATCACCATACACGTCCTTATCCACATTTTTACTAGGTCTGTAGATGTTCTGGGCCATGTCTTTACCACTTCTCCAGGGCTGGTCATAGACATTGTAAATTTCATCTTCTCCTCCAGCAAAGCCACTGTCCATACCCTAGCAGAACACCAAAACCATCTATATTAGTTGGATACTAACAAGCACAATGTCCAAAAACAGGTTCCCTTAGAAGTCATCAATACTCCTCCAAAACCTACCTAACCGCATTAGGTAGATTGCTATTCAGAGTCAGAATACAGCATTCTCTGGGAGAACAGAAATTCCTCATAAAAGCAACAAGTCCCAACTTTGTTGCATACTAGCGTAAGAGAAAAGGATAGAACTATTCAGATGAAAGGAGAAACTTGGTTCTCAATGGCTTGGGATACCAGGTTCAGGTTTAGCCTCCAACCACAGTGGTGTCAGAGGGCACTCTTCTCCACTAAACAGAAGTGCTGCATGCTTTGAAACACTATTATAGTGAATGCTAAATTTACCCATAATGAAGGCAATATTGCAGGATAGTGCAATGCATTTTACTTTTAACCTACCCATAGTTTTCTAACCACTGCTCATTGAGGGGCTTTGATAGTATATTAAGTTATATTTAGAGGTGTCTTGTTTTGTATTAAATTATACTGGAGTGGGCACCCATTTTCCTGTTGAGGGCCACATTACCTACTTTAAGGGTAATTTGGTAGGAGGCACATGATGAAGGGTCAGAGCCAAAGGGGGGGGGGACTCTTCATCTCTTTCTGCTGCCTCCTCATCCTAGCAGGTTGTGGGGGTGGGCAGATTATTGTATGCCAGAGGTTTGAACTGATCATTTGCAGATGGCTTTTAAAATCAGTACTGCATAAAATTTTCCTGAGGGCCAAAGGTTATCTACCCCTAATTCACATGTTGAATTCTTAACAACTGAAAGGCAAGGGTTGGTGTTAGAATCTAGTGCTAAAGAGGAAATGAAGCTGTTTAATTGTATCGTCCGGAGGAAGTGCCGAGTTTGCTTTCCTTCACTCAATGTGTTCTAGGATAGGGCTATCCCATTCTGGGATGTGGCGCTTGCTTTAATAGGCCTTTTCCTGTGGCCTCTCTTGGTCTGGAACGCAACAGTACAGTGTGCTTGGTAGCTGCCCCTTCATTACAAAAATAATCTTGAGGACATGTGTCTTCAGAGTTCAATTCCTTTCCTACCCACTCCCCACCAGCCTAATATTTTCCACAACAAATGCATAACCTGCAACACACACTAGTTACAGGTTCCTAGTTGTTGTCATCTGAGTACTTTAAATTAGAATTGCTGAAAATTATGAACATAGGCTCGAATAACTGTTTTCAGATCTGCTACACAGTGAGCTATTTGGAAAAAGAGCAAATAAAATATGGGTTGTTCAATCTATTGGCTGACATGTCATGGGTTAGGGCAGACATCCCCAACCTTCGGCCCTCCAGATGTTTTAGATTACAATTCCCATCATCCCTGACCACTGGTCCTGTTAGCTAGGGATCATGGGAGTTGTAGGCCAAAACATCTGGAGGGCCACAGGTTTGAGGTGCCTGGCTTAGGGTATTTTTATTTTATGTCGCACCAATTTTTTAAATGCTGTACATCTGGCCATATACATGGCACTTGTCTCCTTCAAATGTAGTGATAACTTTCCAGAGCAATGGATGGCATTACTTACCTTACTCTGGTTGAAGAGCCTTTGGTCATACTGGATCTCACTGGATGTCCGAGGGTTAGGAACACCCAAGGCAATGACTTCACTAATATCTCTGTTCTCATTCCTTTGCAACTTCGACCTGAGTTAACAACATTGTATACTGGTTATGTTTCAAAAATATCAACAATTAAAACTTCCATGTGAGGACGTTTATTCAGAATAAAGATGCTGGAAGTCAGACTGAGAGTTTTGCAGTTGGGGGGGGGTAGACATACTTTGAGGAAGCAGTGCTGATTTGCTTGAACACAGGAATAACTTAGTCATGAATGACATTTGAACTACCCAGTGGTTCCTTTGCACTTTTCCATCTTCATAAAGCTGACCACACCATGACAAACTGTTTTGGAAACTCTCAACTTCAAAAAATAGTCTGCCATACAAGCCTGGGCAACAGCAAGGGGAGTGCTCTTTCAGAACAAACAAACCTAAAGTCCTCTTAGGTCGTTAGGAACAAGTTTTACGCGTCTTTGGATTCTAGCATTCAACTTCAAGGAAGTTATCTTGCTTGTAATACAGAATACAGAAAGGTAATACAGAAAGGGCCAAACAGAAACAGACTGTAAAATTAAACTGTCCCCTTTGTCTCCAAAGCAGGTATAATTCTGTTGCGCAAAAGAACTGGGCTGCATAAAAGTTGTGGAATATATTGTATAAAGGTTCTTATTAATTTGCTACTTAACACAATTAATTGTGTGTTAGTTATTCTAGCAGCTAGTTCACACGTATGCTTGCTCAGGATGTGCATAAATTAAAACAAGGGAAATGATTTGAAACAATTTAAATCTTCAGATGCAAATTTAATCCATTAATGTTTTTTCCTGGGCGATTTAAAAATCACTCCACCCTGCAAATAAATGGTTCTCAAAATACAATAGACAGCTAGTCCGGCTGGCACAAAGTGTGCAACCTAAGAGTAAACTAGGTGGGGGGAAATCTACATGATGGGCACAGGAGAACATGCCACATTCAAGCCTTTATCCGAGCATCATTCTTGCCTAAGGGTAAATATTGCATTCTACAGTGTCACTCTCCTGTCTGACCATCAAAAGCAAGAACATGGTAGTGGTATTATTTATTAAATTTATATACCTCTCTTCCTCCAAGGATTACTGTGTGGTTTACAGTATAAAAACAACAATATATATCTTAATAATAAACAAAACCATAACCGCTCCCCACATTTTAAAAGTTCATAGATTGTCTAACTCCATGATTGTGTTCTCCATGCTAATCCTCAAAGTTAACTTGTTCCCATCAAAATATATAAAAAAATATAAAAAAAATTGTTCAGTAGCACCTTAGAGACCAACTAAGTTTGTTCTTGGTCTCTAAAGTGCTACTAATTTTTTTTAAATTTTTTTATATATTTCAACTGCGTCAGACCAACACAACTACCTACCTGAATCTTGTTCCCATCAGATGCAGATCCCATCATAATACATCCTTAGTCCCTCCTTTGGGGCTGATAGAGAGAAACTAAGGAACTAGTGCTATACAGATATGCAGAAGAACACACAAGCACTTAATACATAGAAGCACAAAAATTGACACACACTACCTTTAACATAATAGTGTGCTATAGCACACCAGAAATCACTGCACCACAGGTATGTACATTTCCAAATCTTGTAAATTGCTTTGAGGTTTTCTCCAATGAAGTGGTATATAAATTTTATATAAACAGTAACTTAATACAAAACAACAACCAAATGAATACTATTTTTTTAGGTTAGAATCAAACGTTTTACATTTACCTTGACCAAGTAGTAAACTGCCCAGTTATTATTAGCTGAACAACTTTACCTTTTGTCAGGGGCTGCTCTGGAAAGATTCCGGTCGTGCTGTCTCTCTTTTCGTCTGTCATGTCTGATTTCATCACGTTCTCTAGCTTCCCCATCCTCTGCACAGATACATTTGAAATTCAAAATTACATGCAGCCATCTCTTATGTGAGTTAACAGCAACATAGTGGAAGCTGAACTTGCAGCTATGAAGAACACAGTGGATGGTGGACTAAGTACTCAGAAGTTGAAGGGTCTCCTAACAATTCTACACTTGTTCACGAAATGAACAAGTGGCCCAACAACTTTAGTGCTTTCCTTAGTTTTCATCTAAAGGTTACATGCCATTAACAAGAAGCCACCTAAACTACAATTCTATGCACACCTACTTGGACGCCACTCAACAAAGGAGAACTTACTTCCACATAAACATGCATAGAAATGAGCTGCATTCTTTTTGCATTTGGAACGCTATGCATGTAGAGACCTCCAGAATGAAGCCATCCTTCTGTAACTGCATATAGTGCAGTCTTCCTGATAAGGTCAGTACACCTGTCATGTGCAGAACCCTCTTTGGAATATTTTATGAAAACCGCAGGAGGATGGGATGTACCTTTCTCCACATGGGTTTTGATCCCTGCCCTTCGCTCCCTGGCCTTCTGGGCCATTTCCCGGAGTTTCTCCTCATGCTTCTCTTTTTCCTTCTGGGCCATCTTCCGCTCCACCTGGGCTCGCATCTCCAC